TATTTTACAATGACGTTTTAAGACGAAAAGTTCCAGTTTCAAGCTCTAAGCTGTATTCCCCTAAGTTTAAGGTTAAAATTATACGCTTTAAAATCTCATTGTAGTCGTCGCTTTCTATTAATTGTGTGATAAAGTACTTTTTATTATAACAATGTAGGTTTCGATCCTATGTATCGGATCCTTCTCAACACTCTCTACATACTGCATCTCAATGATATTGATGTAGTATGTAGAGAATGTTGAGAAGGATCCGATACATATGATATTTTTTAGATATCCGATGAAGATGTTTGAAATGCTTTAAAGATGTCTAATAGATATCTTTTAGATATCTTGAAAAATGTATTGTAGATCTTAATATAAAAGTTTTACATAGTAAAAGTTACATAGCATGACAATGTTAAATTTATTAATTGAAAATTGCTATTTTCAACGCACTCGCGCTGTGAACAACAATTTTTAATTAATAAATTTAACATTGTCATACTGTTTTTTTTATATAAAGAAATAGACACTTCATTTAGAAAATATAATAAATTATATATTGTGAATTTTACATTTACATTTTTCATTTCATTTTACATTCATTTTTCATTTTACATTTCATTTTACATATTCATTTTCATTTTCATTTTACATTTTCATTTTCATTTTCATTTTACATTCATTTTTCATTTTACATTTCATTTTACATTTTCATTTTTATTTTCATTTTCATTTTACATTTTCATTTTTCATTTTACATTTCATCTATATATTACTTATCTATTTCTATTATATTATAATTTACCGCCAATTCTTTTTTTATGTTTTGTGTTTTAATTAACATAAACAGTTATGTAAGTACGAAACAAGTATTTTTTAACATCATAGCATTATATTTGTGTAAAGATGCATACATTTACACAAATTTATTTATGAAGTACAATTGTTATTTTATAATTACAAAACAGACAACAAAATGAAAACTGATTACGGAAGTTATATAAATGTATAAAATTCTTGCATGATTATAATTACACAACCTATATGCCAATGTTATTGATTGATTAATAATCAAGGCCAATTTTAAACTGACGGCACCTTCGAGGTAATCGTACCGGTCATGGTGATCAGATCGACATCTATCACTAATTTACGATCTTCTATTTGGAATTTGGTATTATCTAAATCGGCCGCTGTCATCATCTTTATTATTGCAGGCTTTTCGGATTTAACTTTAGCATACAATGAGTCGCCCATCATCAGAATTTCATCCAGCGTTGATCTCAACCATGTCTTCACCGAATGCACCTTCTTCATAGCAATATTCATCACGCAATTTGCTACATTTTGTGCACCTTTGCCTTTGTATATTTCCTCGTCTTTATGGGTTAGACCATGAAGAATCGCTATTTTGCCGGGTAATTCCGTAAACGTGGATCGTAATACACTCTTTCGAACTATAGGTGGACCAATGATATTGGATAAACGGTTAACGAACCCATGACCGACCTATAAATTTTTACTTTCATGTATATGTATACTATGTAAGTATTTTTTTTGTATATAAATATATATTATTTATATATAAATATAATTTTTTTTGTATATAAATATATATTATTTATATACATTATTCTTTTTTCTTTATGTAAATAGTATATGGACTTTCTCTTTGTAATGTACTTATGTAATAATAATAATGAATTTTATTCTTACAAGTAATACTTCATTTAAAATAATAAGCTTCCCTCTCTCTCTCTCTCTCTCTCTCTCT